TACCCACTGAGCAGGGAGCCCTATGTAGGACTCGATCCCAGGACCCTGGGATCATGACCTGAGCTGAAGACAGATGCTTAACCGACTGAGCAACCCAGGATCCCTGGTCACAGATTCATTTTTCGTTAATTTTTGCTTATGGTGTTAAGTAAAGGTCCATTTTCATCTTTCGTATGTGGATATCCAGTTTTCCCAGAACCATTTGTTGAAAACACTGCCTCTTCCCCACTGATGAATGGTCTTAGCACCTTTGTCAAGTATCGTTTGACCATATAGGTGAGGGCTTATTTCTGGACAGAATGCGTGGTATTTCATAAGATCCAAAGATGAATCAGATTATCCTAATGCACTAGAGTTGCTCATAGGGAGTGGGATCTCATTTTTATTTTAGACAAAAAAGAAGAGATGATTTTAGAGGGAGGTAAAATAGCCAACTTAAAAAGAGTTCAAGTCAGAATTATAGATTCTGGTCATCTAGTTCACATCCTTGTTTTTATATAGGAAGAAAAAAAGGCCTGATGTTACTCTTAAGATCAGAATTATAACAAAAATAAAAAGTTATTATAGAAGATTTCAACTCAGTGAAGGAAGAACTTCTAACATCTAGAATACACAGATTTGAGAAAGAATGAGCTCTCTATAACTACAAATATTTAAACAGAAGTTGGATGAATACCTGTAAGCTTTGCTATAGAAGACAGGTCTGATCATTTCTTTGCCTTGCTTGTAAATATTCTATGACTGCCCATTAACTTCAGGATAAGGGCCTGCTTTTTAAAATGGCATATACAGGGGCGCCTGGGTGGCTCAGTGGGTTAAGCCTCTGCCTTCGGCTCAGGTCATGGTCTCCGGGTCCTGGGATCAAATCCCTCTTAGGCGTCTTGCTCAGCGGGGAGCTGGCTTCTCCCTCTCTCTGCTGCTCCCCCTGCTTGTGCTAGTGCACTCTCTCTTTCACAAATAAATGAATAAATAAATAAAATGGCACACATAGCCCTTAAGATATGGTCCTAGGTTACCTATATAGCATCATTTCCTGCCATGTATCTATGTTCTTGATATAGCCAACTTTTGTATTGTGAGGTCTGTCCTTTCTAATTGTCAGACCTAACTCAAATAAAAAAAAAAAAAGTAAAAAAACAACCACCTTAAAAAAAAAACAACAACAGTTTCTAACGCTTCAAGGAAGTAAGCTAAAGGGTGTGGCTGTAGCTTAAAATTCCACACATAGAATTCTCAAAACAAATTAAATAGAATCAATGGGTTGCAAGTATACACATGCACTAGTGACTATAAGGGCACATGAAATCCAAACGGGCAGATGAGAACAAACTTTGATTTTCAGAAGAAAAGGAATTAACTTTTGGTGAATGTTACCATATAACATACATTTATTATTATTTTTTTAAAGCATGCTGTATGCCCAACATGGGGTTTGAACTCACAACCCAAGATCAAGGGTCGCATATTCTACCAACTAAGCCAGTCAAGCACCCCTATAATAGACATTTAAACATATTTTAGCTTATTTAATTTTAAGAATGCAAAAAGACCAAAAAAAATAGATCCTTTACACTATTTTTGAGGTGAAAACATACTACGTTAGGATCTTTGGTATTACATGCTATAAATAAGAATCACAAAAGTTTTAAACTTTGAACATATCTTCTGCTTTACAGATAACTTAGTGTGTCAATAAGTACTTTCTAGGTACTTTCTGTGTGTCAGGATTGTGCTGGGTACGGGGAATACAAACATGAAAAAGGAATAGGACCACAGCATCGAGGGTGATATGGTTGTTTTGGACGGAGCTCATCATCAGACAAGGTCTATAAAAGGTTAACAACCACTGAAGTCTCTCTCCTTGAAGAAATCAAGTATCTAGGAAAAAAAGGAGGGGAGCTTAGAGAAAACCTTTAGCAGATCAGACCACATCTTTCTTGCTTATAAAAGTTCAGTGACTAGCCAATAACTACAGGAGAAAGCCTGTTTTTTTTGTTTGTTTGTTTCTATGGCATACATAGCCCTCTATGATTTATTCCCTTTATGATCTACTGGCAAATTGACTTGGTTTGAGCAGACTTATCTTTGAGGTCCCTTTCTTGTGATTTGATTTACTCACCAGATCACCTGTCTGTCCAATATGATTATTTTTGGACTAAGTTTTTCTATCACCTAGGAGGAAAATAGAATATGAATATTGATCCACTGGGCAATTATATTTCTCGTTATATGTGATGAAATAAGACTTTAACTGCAAGCAATTTTCACCTGAGTTTAGATGAAATTGTGCTCCTAGAAGTTCTGGACTGGAGGGCTAAATTTAGAGACTTAACCACAATTATGATATCTACCTTGCAAGTATCAGGTATAAATCCTCAGTGTTTTTTTTCGGAGCCGTCGTTTACGGTCTTATTTCTCAGTAAACTGTTTGGGATTCAATAGAAAGAACACAGGGCTAGTATTCTAGTCCTGCCTGTGACTTACTGTATAATCCTGGTACTTCAACCTCTTATGTCCTAAGTTTCCTCATTTTTCAAATACAAATAATATTTGTTCTACATGTACTTTGTGATGATACACAAGATTATAGTTTAATTTTAACTCAATGAGTATGTGAGTATTATAAGGAATACAAATGTAAGTATTTGTACTCAAGCTTATATTCTGTTGGGGTCAGACTTATAAAAGTAACATGTAGGGATCCAGAGGAAGGATGGATTACATTCAGTGGAGGGGGTGTGATCAGGAATATTTAATAAAGGAGATAGGAGTTGAGCCGGGTCTTGAGGAATAGGAAAGGTGGCAGAGTCATTTGGAAGGGATAAGAACAGAGAGGCACTGGGATTCTCAGTCTGGCCCCAGCTTTTTCTTTTTCTTTTTTTTTTTTAAACGATGTATTTAGTAGAGACAGAGGGAGAAAGCACAGCTTTCTTGAGGGGGAGGGATAGGGCAGAGAGAGAGAGAATCTGAAATAGACTCCCCACCATGCGGAGGCAGGGCTGGATCTTGCCATTTGGAGATCAGGAATCTAGGATCATGACTTGAGCCAAAATCAAGAGTCAGATGCTTAACTGACTAAGCTACCTGGGTGCCCTGAACCCAGCCTTTATTTTCAGACTCATTATCTTCTGCACACTTCAGACAAAATGATGTTTTCTGAATCAGGCATGTGTCTGGCATATAGCAGTTGAGCCTCCATGGTCCAGCTACTACCTCTTCCATTAGAGCCGCACCCAAGTGGCATTTATCATACTTTCCTCTGTATGAGCCTGGGCCTTTGTTCATATGCCCTTTTGCTTTTATTGTAGCTTAATAGAACAACCTTCCTTGCTTAATGGTGAACTTTTTGGAGACAGGAATCTGGTACTGAACTCAGTGCTTTGCTTTTATTAAGTAATCAGGAAATTTTATTGAATTGAACTTGTTCCAAGGACACTGATATCACTCATGTCGGAAGGACATGTTGGTATCATCTCAGTGTCTCTATAGGCTTTAACTTTTGTGTCCTGCTGTTTTCCTTACAGCATCTCTGTGAAGTAGATTTTTTTGCCTTTAAAAACTTACAGATGAGGAAACTCAGAGGGTACATTTGCCCAGTCATCCAGCTAAGTTCTGAAGCCAAGCAGGGCTCTTTTGACTTGAAATCCCCTACTCTCTGCACTATACCTGGGCCTTGTGGCATCAGACAAGTAGGGGTAAGATGCACTTATTCTGAGAGCTCTCATTCTCTCTTTGTAAATGGGAGCAATAGTACTGACCACATGGGATTGTTATGAGGGTTAAATGGAGTAAAATATGTGAAGTCCCTAGCTCAAGGCCTAGCTAGCCCTTAGTGGGTTATGCTTGGTCCCTTCTCAAAGCTTCAAATTCAAATGGACATAAACAGATAAATACCCAGTTCTGAGGTGCAGTGGGAAGTAGATGGGACTACACAGGCAGGAATATCCTTCTCCTTGTAACCTCTCATATGTTCTATCCTTTGAGACCTATTATATGCATTAGGCCATATTTTGTAAATACTTAAGATTTAACAACCTCCTTCACCATCACGTCCACCCATGTTCTACCCTTTTCCTGCCTAGTGTGTGTCAAATGCAAGGGCTGTAGTTGTGTGACTTGTCCAGCTTTGAGGTCAGGGGTTGATTGAATAATGTCCAAGGCTGGGGTCTTTAAAAAAACAAAACAAAACAAAACAAAACAAAACAAAAACTAAGCCATAGATCCTCTCGGATTGTAACTTTAAATAACTATGCAGAGGAACCTATTAAAAGTAAAGTAAGAATGGGCCCATAGATGGTAGTTAATTGCAAACCCGAGTGAAACTAAAGAAATTATTTTTGAAATCTTCCCGGGGTAGGGAGATGTTCTTGAGATTTTTCTGCTGAGTTCCTTAACTCCTAAATAGGCTGCATTTTGAAAAGAATTCCAGCTTTGGTGGGTTGGTGGCAAAGGTGACTAGGCGGGTGTCGACCCCCGGCTTTCTTCGTCCAGCTCCCCCTTGATGTTCAGAAGCCCGCGCTAGGGGCCGAGGGTCCACGGAGGATCCGGCTAAGCCCGGTCCGTGTGCCAGGCTACAAAGTGCACGTCCAACGCCAGGCTTCCTTGGTGGTGGTGGCAGAGCGGGGGGAAGGACAGCTTCTGGAGCGAGGAGTAGAGGCGGCTTTCTGGCCCTTCTTTTCGCTTGGAGGCCTCGGTAGGGCGGGAGGCCTAGGAGCCAGAACTGAGTGGCGCTGCAATGCCCGTAATCCCGACCTGCTCAGGCACGCCAGCGTCCCCGTTCTCCCCAGTGGGGCCCCGTCGGGTAGCGGGAGCTCGCGACTCCCACTCGATGGCCCCGCCCCTCCTCGCGAGCCCGCGGTGACTTCGACCCTCCCCCAGCGCTAGAGGACCCGCCCCCTCCTCGCGGACTAACGAGTGTCCTCGCGCGCGCGCGCCCCTTTCCTCCGCCTGAGTGTGAGTGTGCTGCCCTCCCACCTCGGCCCCTCCCTATTGTTTCTCTCCGCCGCCACAAGCCTCCAAACGCAGCCCCTCCCCCCATTGGTGTTTACCGCTCCCCCTTCCCTCGTCTCGGTTTAACCGGCACCCTGGGGCCCCCAGAACGAAGGGAGGGGGTACCCCTGAACTCTTTCCTCTGCGTCTCCTCTCCTGGGTCTTCTCCGCGTCTTTCCCCAGCCCAACTCTCGGAGGTCAGGACTCCATTCAAGGCTCTGTCCGTCCCTCCCCTCCCCCCTTCCCTGGTTCCCCCTCGGCCCCCTCCCCTCAGCGGGTCCTCCTTTTTCTCTCCCTCTCCCTCCTCCTCCCCCACCCCATCCCTTCCCCCCCACAATGCAGTTCGCGGCGCGGCGGACATGGCGGTGGAGTCCTGAGCTCGTCGTGTCCCGGCCTCCAGCGGCGGCGGCAGTGACGGCGGCAGCGGCGGCAGCAGGAGGCGGCGGGGGGAGCGGGAGCCACTGAGATGAGGAGGCGCCGCGCGCGCCTGTAGCTCGCGGGCCTCGCAGGTACGGAGGTTCCGGCCGCGTCGCAGCGCCGGGCGCCGAGGGGGTGTGCTTTGGAAAGGCCAGGCGGCCCCCTGTTCGCCCTCCTCAGGTGCGGAGCCTCGCAGGTGTCGGGGGCCCGGCCCGAGCGTGTCTCAGCCACCCCTTGGGGCCTGACACTTCTTTCTTTGCCGGAATGGACTTCGGGTGTCCCAGGGGAAGGCTGAGATAAGGGAGGTAGGGGCGGCGGCCTGGCGGCCTGAGGAGGGCATTGGGGCGCTTCGGGGGCCGAACTTCACAGAGAGGCTGAGGTTCTCGGTTCCGGGCCGAAACCTGTAGACCCGGGAGGCGGATTTTGAGTTAACGGGATTGATGTGAGCATTCTCTTGGGTCCAGTACGATTCCCTGTCATGTATGCCTTTTCTTTCATCTCTCCCCCCACCTCCGTTAGACACAGATGTCCATATATAACAGGCAAATATACACACTCATGTAATACATAATAAAGGATTTCTCCGGGCTCACCCTTGTCGAGAAGAGAGAAGGCAGAGATGTCTGTGAATTTCGTTTTTTGCTCGCCCGCCTTCTCTCTCCCCCGCCCCCCAGTCGAATGGTGGTAATGAACGCTTTGACGTGGGAAACTGAGATTCGTATTTGTAAACAGACAGCACTAGCCGTGTGTGTTGCACGCCTCCGCGAGAGGTTTCAGGTCCTTTTGGTATCCGGATCGCAAAAGAATGAGATATTTGGACGTGAAAGAAGCACATCGCCGAGATTTCTAGTCATACCTGAATGGGATGAATTACTGTTATTTTAGGAACGTTGATTGAACTTTTTCTTTTCGTAAGTTTATCCCATCTTTAATCAGATGAATTTTGAACCTTGAGTGAGATCTTGTTTCGGTATACCATGTTTTTTCATTTTGATATATTTTTGATACAAAAGTAGTTCCTGACACATGTGACATTCTACTTGGTTTTGTGATCTTTTTAGTGTCTAGAAACGCAATTCGAATTGTTTTGTTGGCGTGCATTTAGTAATTAGCTGTAGTGGATCAGATTACCTTTTGTTTCCAAAAGGCCCCTCTCCCCCGCCAAGTCTTGTAGTAGCGAAATGTGTAACACTTGGTGAAACAGAACATATCCTGTTTCTAAAGTAATGAGAACTATTAGCTAATAAAACTGGATGATCCCAACTAGATACGACAATTTAGAGAGAGTACTATACTAGGGTGGTGAATTGTGGAATGCTTTAAAAAAAATTGACTTTTTTGTTCGTGGTGTCAGTCAGCATGTTCTGTATATGAGTATATTGTACTCTGGAATTTTCTTTAGGCTCAGCACCCTTGTAAGGTCTCCTTAAAAATTGCTGCACATTGCATCCTAGTACTTAATTAGTCACAACTTGTAAAATTTTGAAATTGCTTTATTTAGAATGCTGTGCTTTAAAAATAATGAATTCTCTAGTGTCTAGTCTGCTGTGATGCTTTTATAAGTTTTAAAGAGTGTTCTTAAAAACCACATACTTTGGGGACAATAAGCATTTTATGCTTTAAAATTTTATGTATTTTATGCTTTAAAATGTAATTGTTAATATAAACAAAAGAAAGTTGCTTTGAAAGAGAGCTCTTTTAGGTCTTCCTATTTGCAATTTTTAATTTGACTAGTGTGGAAAATGAAAATTAAAGCTTCCTTGAAATAATACAGAGGAGGAAGTGAAAGTTATTGACATTCAATGTTTTAAATGTAGCAAATGTCTGAATACAAAGAGAAAATTAAGGTCTTTTCATTGTCTTAGGTCAAGTTGTTATTAGTTACAGATCAATTTACAGGATGTTATCATGTACATAAGTTTAGTTCAATTTCATAATTCCTAAATCACACAGATTCACATTTATTTTTAGTTCATTTAACTAGAACAGTAGTGTCTGTGTTATAATTTTAGACCTTTTAAAAATAAAAATTTATAATTGCAATTATAAATATTTCTGATTAATAGAAAGTCATTTAAGGAGAATTTTTATTAGTTCTCAGAGCAGATTCAGTCTAGTAAGTAGAGAAACTTTTTTTTGACCCCAGGGTTAACCTTGACATGAATAATCATCATTTATGTTGTGTTCCATTTTTGTTTTGTCTTGTTTTGTTTTAATGTTGTGTTCTTTATCCAATGTCAAATCAGGATCTGTGGGTAGAGAAAGTTTTTTGACTGTATTTTCTACAGAAAGTGTCTGTTTTCAGGCAATAAATAAGACTTACTTATAAATGCTGATGCCAGTAAAATTTGTTTATCCTTAAAAAGAACCAACCAGGGGCGCCTGGGTGGCTCAGTGGGTTAAAGCCTCTGCCTTCGGATCAGGTCATGATCCCAGGGTCCTGGGATCGAGCCCTGCATCTGGCTCTCTGCTCAGAAGGGAGCCTGCTTCCTCCTCTCTCTCTGCCTGCCTCTCTGCCTACTTGCGGTCTCTATCTGTCAAATAAATAAAATCTTTAAAAAAAAAAAAAGAACAAACCATTTTGATATAACAATTCAGTGAGATGTGTTATTTTCGAAGGTAAACTACAAATGCTGGGATCCATAAAATAATATTACAAAATTCAGTGAAAGTCATGACTGCAGGTAGAAGTATGTCCTAAAGAAGAACAGTTCTTAAAGACCTAAAACAAGGAGAAAACACTAGTTTAAAGCAGGATAGGTGATATGTAGATTTTTTTCTTCTTAATCTAAGAGGAATTAAGACCGTTTAAACTGAACTAAGTGAATTAAGAAGGTTTACACTAAACTAAGTTTTAATTCTAGAATTCTAGATAATTGTGTAATTTGGGGAAATGTTTAAAAAGCAGCATATGTCCCCAAGCATTTTTTATAGATCGAAAAAGAAAAGTTATATAAATGCAAAGATGAAGTTTAGATTTTTTTCCCCTAAAGTGATAGATTTATTTTGTATAATGTGTTATGGTTTCCAAATTGTTCTCAACATTAATTCATTGAGTGTCCATAATTATCCTGAGTTAAGGGGGAGAGAAAAGGGAACTGACATTTGAGTAACTTTTTACCAGGCATTATGCTAGACATGTTTATTTTTTTTTTCACTTTTAACAACCTTATGAAACCTTTTTTGTAGTTGAGTTCAGTCTCTGCTGAAGATCATAGAGTCAGATTTGGAACAGCTCAGTGTGTTCTTCCTATTATATATGCCTTGTTGCTTTCCAGATGTATCAAGTAGTCTCTCAGTTTTGTAGGATGGACTGCCTAGGGTTACTCATTCACAGACCATTTAATCATTTATCAAATATTTGCATTTGTACATTATCCTAGACACTGGTAGGTTTTTGAGACACAGAATTATTAAGTCTCTCCCTTCAGGGAACTGAGTCTGCATATAATATAGATAAATTGCAACACACTGGATCATGGAAGGTCAGAGGGAAGAAGCTGGCTCTTGAACGATGAGTAGGAGTTTGCCAGGTAGAAAAGGGGATATAGTCTGGAGGCTGGTCCAGAACTAAGGAATAACCTATGCAAAGATGTTAAGTTGTTAAGGCGCTCAGAGTAGGAAGAGTGAGAAATTGAGTGTGGCAAGAGTTGAGGATTTATGGATAGAGTGGTGAGCGAAATGGTTGGAAATAGAGAGCGAAGGTTATTGTGTATGTTAAGGCCTTTGGATTTTTATTTTGTCACACAAGATCACCAAGTGAGATAGTATTCGAGTTGTGATTACAAGTGTGTTTTCTGTATATGTGCTGCCGAAGCGAGCACCAAGTGTGTTTTCTGACTCCTAGTTTAGTATTTCTTTCTCTTCGGCTTCCTTACCAACAGAGTTAACCCATTTTTGGTGGATAGTCAAGCACCCTTTTTCATGATATTTTTTTCTCTTTTCTCCTCTTACTAGTAGTTGCTGTATTTCAGATTAGTTTTTGAGGATCCCGAATGTTAAATTTCTTATAAGATTTTTTTTAAAAATTTTATTTATTTATTTGACACAGAGAGAGAGAGAATCACAAGTAGGCGAGGAGGGGGGTGGAGGGGCGCAGAGGGGTGCGGGGAGGCAGGCTCGGTGCGGAGCAGAGAGCCTGACATGGGGCTCCATACCAGGACTCTTGAGATCATGACCTGAGCCGAAGGCAGAGGCTTAACCCCCTGAGCCACCCAGGCGCCCCTTAGAGGATTCTTTTGAGATAAAAATACCTCTGGAGGTAATCACTTGTTATAGTTATTTAGGAAGTTTTTTCATTCCTTGATTTGGGTTGGTTGACTAATTTCTAGTTTAGCATTAGAAAGCAATAGGATGAGGGCTTGGGGAGTGTGGGCTTGGGTTGGTTGACTAATTTCTAGTTTAGCATTAGAAAGCAATAGGATGAGGGCTTGGGGAGTGTGGGCTTCCTGCAATCTGTGTTCATCAGCAAGGATGAGCAAAGTGCTCATCCTTGCACAAAGTAACCTGTACTTTCAAGAAGAAATCGGTGTAAGTCACATCATTGTCTGGTAGTTTAATTTATTTATTTGCAAAGATTTTATTTTTCAATAATCTCTACACCTAATGAGGGACTCAAAGTCAGAACCCTGAGATCAAGAGTTGCATGCTCCACCGACTGAGCCAGCCAGATCCCCCAATAGTCTGGTAGTTTTAGGTGGGTATTTGATTTACAGTGATGGTAGATAACTTACTGCAATTTTTACGAGGTATAATTTCTTTCTAAAGATCTTAAGTATTAACTCAGTCTTCAACAACCCTTTTGTATTATCCTCATTTACAGGTGAGGAAAGAGGTACAGAAGGGCTAAGTATCTTGGACAAGATTTCATAGCTACTTCGCTGCATTTTTGGTATTTGAACTCTGGGTTCAGGATGTCTGAGTCTGCAGTTAAAGCTCTTAACCACTATATTATATTGTACCTCAGGCTTGGGTTGTCAAAATTGAGCATGCAGAGGGTGTTAAGTTCAGCACAGTTACATGGGTTGTCAAAAAATACATTTTTAAGGAAAAAAAAATATTTTAAGAATGTAAAGTGTGGGGGCGCCTGGGT